TAAAGACTGTATATTACTTTTACTTTTTTGGTTTTGGACCTCAGGTGTAGAGAACTGAGTGCAGTTGACCCTAGAGTAACATGGATTTGCCTGCATGGGTCCACTTAGATGTGGATTTTTGTTGGCTATAAATGTATTTTGTCTTCTTTATAACTTTTTAAAACAATTGTCTTTCTCTAGCTTACTTTATTGTAGGAATACTGTACATAATCTGTATGACATACAAAATATGTGTTAATCATCTCTGTATGTTATTGGTAAGGCTTCTGGTCAACAATAGACTATTAAAAGTTAAATTTTGGGGGAGTCAAAAGTTATACACGATTTTTGACTACAGTGGGGAAGGGGGTGTCGGCACCCCAACTCTGTGTCGATCAAGGTCAACTGTATTAACTTCCTGGTTCACAACGTACTACTGTTGTCGGTTTAAATAGTGCCCCTCTCTTGTTTTATTTTTTTAAGATTTTGCTTATTTGAGAGAGAGAGAGAGCATGAGGGGGAGAGGGAGAGTGAGAGGAACAAGCAGACTCCCCACTGAGCACAGAGCCCGTTGTGGGCTCCATCCCAGGACCCTGAGATCATGACCTGAGTAGAAACCAGGAGTCCATGCTTAATGGACTGAGCCACCTAGGAACCCTATTTTGCTTGTTTTTAATCTTTGATATACATGAATTACTATTAAATCCAGATCAAACAATAAAACTTATATAAAGGGATCAATCAAGGACCTTCACTCAGAAGTCCGTAAGAAGAGGAAGGGTGTCAGATTCTAGCTACACCACTGTCCAGGGATGAATTGTCAACCGTTCACCTTCTCAGCTGGTGTGAGGGGGCAGAGATGGGAATAGTTGTCAGTTTGTCTTTGGAAAATTTGGGTTATAATTCCAGCAAGACTCCAACTACTGAACTTTTGGCTTTGTATAATGCACTGCCAAGATTGGTCATTAACTCATGTGGAATCAAACAAGAAGACCTGGCATCGTGGCTTGGATCTGTGTTATTAGTTTTCTAAGGTTGCCAAAACAAAGTACCACGCATCAGGGGGCTTCAACAACAGAAATTTACTGTCTCACGGTTCTGGAGGCTACAAGTCCAAAATCAAGGTGTTGGAAGTTTGGTTACCTCTGAAGGTTGTGATAACCTGTCCCAAACTTCTCTCCTAGTTTCTGGCAGGTGTTTCTTGGATTGTAGAATGCGCTCTCTCTGTACTTTTCCTTCGTCTTCCCTGTGCATACTTCCGTCTCTGTCCAAATTTCCCCTTTTGGTAAGAACAGAAGTCATATTTTATTAGGGCTTACTCTAATGACCTCATCTTGATTACCTTTGGTAAGACCCAATCTCCTAACACTTTTTAAAAAAAAATTTAGTTTAAAAAAATTTATTTATTTATTTATTCGACAGAGAGAGAGAGAGAGAGAGAGAGAGAGAGAGATCACAAGCAGGCAGAGAGAGGGGGAAGCAGGCTCCCTGCTGAGCAGAGAGGCCGATGCGGGGCTCCATCCCAGGACCCTGAGATCATGACCTGAGCCAAAGGCAGAGGCCTAAACCACTGAGCCCCCCAGGTGCCCCTCTCTTAACACTCTTGAACTGTGGTGTATGTGCTGTGGTGGAAAGACCATGGGCTTTGCAATTGCACCTAGATTTCAATTTTGATTTTATCACTTACTGGTGGTATGACCTTGGGAAAGTTATTTAATTATTCAGGACTTATTTTCTCATCTGTATCATGGGGATGTAATGTTGCTATGAGATCAGAGATACCTTAGCATTTACTGGGTAAATGGAAGCTGTTCGTGTGAGTTGAGGGAGGGGGTCTTTGCTTTTAGAGGTTCAGTTCTCTGGATAGATACATTTGCCACTGGGTCTGATAGGGAGGGTCTCAGGTGACATTGGTGGACCTGGGCAACATTAAACTGGCTTTTCTACCAGAGTCCTTGCCTTCCTGTGTTCATTTGTATAGAGCCAGTACCATTTACAGGTGACTTTTAAGGTGAAGCCTCCATAAAACGAATTTACAGCATTCCAAACTGGACATGAGCGTTCACTGATCAATGTTGTATAAAGCTGTCAGGCTGCGGGGGAGGGGGGGTGTTGGAGAGGAGTGGTACAGCCCCCTAGAAATATGGAACCAGCAATGCCTTCTATTATGTAGGATTATTAGCTCAAGATTCTGTCTCAACCGGATCTTCCAGATTGATTTGACAGAAGACAAGGGCACGTTTCCCAAGACATTGTCATATTTTTTTTCCAGGTTACCTAGAAATTTAATTATGCAAGTCTCCTTTATTACCAGTAATAAAAAATTAACTCAAATCTAGTGTTACAGGCTGCAAATGCTTGTGTTCTGCTCAATGTGACACTGTGGTGAATGGGCTGGGGTGGGGAGCAGGGACCGAGGAGCCAGTGAGGAAGGACTTGATTGTTTAAGTTGTGGAAGTGGAAGTGTCAGCTTGGGAGGAGTCAAGGTAGGATCTCTTGTCTTAATAGGGCCACCCTTGGTCACTTCTTTCAAAAACAAAGTGGATTTTAATTACATTACCTGGGCATTTTGGGCGGCAGTAATCCAAAAGAACTTTGGGCAACATGGAGAATCAGTCTGAAGTAAGCTATTTGCCTGACTACGTTTTAGCTAATTTAAGTTTAGTCTGATTTAAGGCCTGTGCTAATTTGAAATGTTGCCTTATATCAATGTTCTAATAACTGTAGGAGGAAAACACTTCTAAATCATTTAAAGCAAGTGTCTTTCCTTGAGTCATATAGGATAGAGACCAGTATTTATTACGGGGGCTTTTCTTCACACCTCTGAGATCCTATCTGTTGCTAATGAATTCCTGGACAGCTTAAGAAAAAGCTGTTAGGAACACTATTATATGATGGGGAAATAAGCTTAGACATCAGTCAATAGATTAGTGACTTGGTGTAAAATAATATCCACATCATCCTTTTCAGCATAACATTTGTTAAATGCCATTTTATCAGCCGTGGTACAGAGCACAATTCTTAGCCCGTGGTTGTCTACTAATTACAAAGTAGCCAGCACAGTATGGCTACTAGCATACTTAGATTTTAACGCCTGGAAAGCACACCTAGCGACATTTAATCAGGCAGACGAGCAGATAAAATACAAATAAACGAGAGCCAGAATATTGAATGGTGGGCGAATTAAGAATCGGGAAACTGAGCTGGCGCATCAAAGAGAAAACCAGGGAGTTGGGCAGCAAGGGTACAGTAAGAGCTCAGGAGGATTAATGTGAGGGGCATTCCGATCGGGAAGGAAAGGCTTCGCCGGAAAAGTGGGGAGGGGTTGAAATAGGTGGTAAAGCCTAAGAGAGCGTGCACAGCCTAAAAAAGTTTTTATGATGGTTCCGTGCATAAAATCTCATCGTTGGCATTGGTTGCTGCAAAAATGGAGAGGCAGGATTTAATCAAGGTGTCAGCCGCAGGGGCATCCCGGATTCGGGCGAAGCGTCCGGAATTCCTGAGATGTCTGAAACGCGGAGGCGGCCTCTTCCCCACCCCCGCCGCGGCCTCCGTGGGCATTTTCCGGCGAGGGGGGCACGCGAGCCCTTCGAAGAACAGTTGAAACGCGCGGCCCTGCGGTCTCCCTCCCGCGGCCGGCGCGCTCCCCGGAGATGAAGGTGAGAGCCCCGGCCGCGGAGCCAGGGGTGGGCTTCCCGGGTCCCCGCGCGGCCGCAGAGCCCCGTCC